CGGTAAGTATGGTTAGTCAATTCATGCATTCGCGTGGACCGGAGCATTTTGAAGCAGTTTATAGAATTCTAAGATATTTAAAGGGGACTCCAGGAAAAGGTCTACTTTTTATAAACCGTGGACATCTACAAATTGAAGCATACACTGATGCAGACTGGGCTGGGAATATAACAGATAGGAGATCAACATCCGGATACTGTTCCTTTGTTGGAGGAAACTTGGTTACTTGGCGAAGTAAAAAGCAAAATGTGGTTGCTAGAAGCAGTGCAGAGGCAGAATTTAGAGCAGTGGCTCATGGTATTTGTGAAGTTATGTGGATTAAGAGATTGTTAGAAGAGTTGAAGACTTGAGATTCTCTACCAATGAAATTGTACTGCGACAACAAGGCAGCAATTTCAATTGCCCATAATCCAGTTCTTCATGACAGAACAAAACATGTAGAAGTGGATAAACACTTTATCAAGGAAAAACTTGATAGTGGGCTGATTTGTATGCCATACATCCCAACTACTGAATAGATTGCCAACGTATTTATCAAAGGATTACACAAGAAGCAATTTGACATTCTTTTGGGCAAGCTGACTATGGAAGATATCTTCTTCAAGCCAACTTGAGGGGGAGATATCCACGTTCACCGCACCATGTTAAGGGATAAAAATCCCACATCGGTTAAATACTGAAATATTCACCAAGTTAAAAAGATCTTGGGCTACTCTTCTTAATAAGGTTGACCTTATTAAGATGGATCCCAAATTTTAATATGGTATCAGAGCCCATTAAATTCCAACAAGCGATTCGATCCGATTATAAGTCTCAATTAATGAGCAACGGATTGCAAGATTGGTCTACTCAAATGAACCATCATCTTGTGGGGGCGTGTTAAGGGATAAAAATATCACATCGATTAAATACCAAAATATTGATCAACTTAAAAAGATTTTGAGCTACTCTTCTTAATAAGGTTGACCTTATTAAGATGGATCACAAATCTTAATACCTAGCTTATCTCAAAATCTGTTGAGTGTTGGACAACTCATGGCTAGTGGGTATTCTATTTTATTTGATGATGTCTCGTGTGTGATTAGAGATTAAAAAAAACAAATCAGGTTATTGTAGATGTTCAAATGGCAGCAAATAAATTGCTTCCACTTGAAGTGTCTAGTGTTGAGAACCATGTTCTTGTTGTTAAAGAAAATAGTGAGTCTAAACTATGGCACCTACGGTATGGGCATTTGAATGTTAAAGATATGAAGTTATTAAGTCAAAGGGAAATGGTATTTGGACTGCCAAAAATTGAGTCTTTGGATCTGTGTGAAGGGTGTATATATGGAAAACAGTGTAAAAAATCATTTCCTATAGGAAGGTCTAGAAGAGCATCTAACTGCCTTGATCTTATGCTGACTTGGGTGGACCTATGAAAATAGAATTTTTGGGTGGGAGCCGATATTTCTTGTTATTCACAGATGATTATAGCCAAATGAGTTGGGTTTATTTTCTGCAAAATAAATCAGAACCATTTGAAGCTTTCAAGAAGTTCAAAGCATTTGTTGAAAAGCAAAATGGAAGAAGTATAAAAGCACTTCGTACAAATAGAGGTGGTGAGTTCATTTATCATGAATTCAATCAATTTTATGATAAACATCGCTTGCGTAGGGAATTAACCGCACCATATACTCCGGAACAAAATGGAGTGGCTGAAAGAAAGAATTGGACGGTAGTTGAGATAGCAAGAAGCTTGCTAAAGGCTAAGGAAATTCCAGATCAATTTTGGGCAGAGGCTGTTGCTACTGTAGTCTACTTGTTAAATTTATCTCCAACAAAAGATGTTTTGAATTAAACTCCATGTGAAGCTTGGAATGGAACAAGACCTTGGGTAAGTCAATTAAAATTTTTTGGTTGTATTGCCTATGCTTTGAAAGATTCACATAATCATAGTAAACTCGATGAAAAATCTGCAAAATATATTTTTATGGGTTATTGTTCTCAATCTAAAGCATATAGGCTATATAATCCTGTGAGTGGCAAAATAGTTATCAGCAGGAATGCTGTATTTGATGAAGCAGCAAGCTGGAATTAGCATGAAAAAGATGAAGTTACCAATAAGAATAATGAAGTTATTCATATTAAAGTGCAAAAAAGTGAACCTTCGCCAACTAGAAAAGTGGTACCTATTCCTCCGAGTTCACCAAGCATAGTCCTTTCAAACTCAACAACATCCAACCCTTCAAGTAATAGCAATTCATCTTCCACACGAGCTTTTTCAAATGAGTCTACTCCTAGGAAATTCAGGTCATTAAGGGAAATTTATGAGACAACTCAAGCTTTGTTCGTTTCAGATCCTACCAACTTTAAAGAAGCAATAAATAAAGAAGAATGGTATAACGCAATGAAAGAAGAGCTTGAGGCAATTAAGAAAAATGAGACATGGGAATTGGTGGACCTACCTGAAGGTAAAAATGCTATTTGAGTAAAATGGGTTTACAGAACAAAGCGCCATTCAAATGGAAAAATAGAAAAGCATAAGGCTCGGCTTGCGGCAAAGGGGTATTCCCAACAACAAGGTATTGATTACGACAACACTTTTTCTCCTGTTGCTCGATTTGAAACAGTGAGAACCATTTTAGCTTTGGCAGCACAATTAAACTGGCTTGTTTTTCAATTCGATGTCAAGTTTGCATTTTTAAATAAAAAATTGGAGGAAGAAGTTTACATCTCTCAACCAAAAGGTTTCATCATTCAAGGAAAGGAAGATAAGGTTTATAAATAGAAGAAAGCCCTATATGGTCTAAAGCAATCTCTACGAGCATGGTACAGTAAGATTGATTCTTACTTCAAACAAAATGGATTTGAAAGAAGCAAAAGTGAGCCCACACTTTATTTGAAGAGACATGGTAAAAACTATTTTCTAATTGTTTGTCTTTATGTTGATGACATAATTTATATGGGATCTTCCACATTTCTTATCGATGAATTTAAACTGTGTATGAAGAATAAATTTGAAATGTCAAATTTAGGTCTTTTGCACTATTTCCTTGGTCTAGAAGTGAAGCAAGTTGAAGATGGAATTTTGTTTCACAAAAGAAATATGCAATGGATCTTCTTCAAAGATTCAATATGCTGAATTGCAAAGTTGCAGCAACACCTTTGAATTTGAATGAAAAGTTGAAGCTGTTTGACGGTACTGAACAAGCAAACTCAAGTTATTTTAGAAGCTTGGTTGGTGGCTTGATATACTTCACTCATACCAGACCTGACATAGCATTTTCAGTTGGAGTGATTTCTAGGTTCATGCATTGTCCTTCAAAGCATCACCTTGGAGCTTCAAAAAGGGTCTTGCGCTACATTGCTGGAACAATAGACTTTGGGTTATGGTATTGCCGTGTTTCAAATTTTAAGTTGTTTGGATTTACTGATAGTGATTGGGCAGGATGTTTGGAAGATAGAAAGAGCACTTTAGGTTATATTTTCAGTTTGAGGTCAGGAGCCATATCCTGGAGTTCAAAGAAACAAGCAACAACAGCTTTATCTTCATCTGAAGCTGAATATATAGCCGTAACTTCATCAGCATGTCAAGCCGTTTGGTTACAAAGGCTACGTGCAGACCTTGATTAGAAACAAAAAGGAGGAATTAAAATCTATTGCAACAACAAAGCTGCAATTGCCATGTCCAAGAATCCAGCTTACCATTGAAGAACGGAGCATATAGATATTCGAGTTCACTTCATTCGAGACCTTGTAGCAAAAGGACGGATCAGTCTACATTACTGCAACACAAATGAGCAGATGGCTGATATTCTAACAAAATCGCTCCCTCGTGAAAAGCACGTTTATTTCAGGAATCAGCTTGGAGTTTGCAATTTTGAATTAAGGGGGAGTGTTGAAGGTTAATTCAAAATTGCCATACGCTAATTTCCAGTTAGACTGAGTCATAGATGCTGAAATATCTGCTCCTTGTTTTATGGTTTTAGTTAATCAAAGTTAGTTTAAATTAGTGGCAATAAACGTGATGATTAGTTGAGGTTTTTTAGCTCCTTTCAGTTTGGTTGTAAGCCCATAAATAGGCATTCTCATTTCTGGAATAAAGCAGAAAAAAATCAGTATTTTCTCTGCATTTTTTCTCTGTTCTCTGCACATTTTCTGTTTCTTTGTTTTAGCTCCTCTAAATTTCCACAATCCCTAGGAAACTATTAAATAATTAATTCTAAAACCAAAGTTATATAACTAAAAACTCCAAAGAAAAGTAACAATAATTGGGGCACCGTCATGAAAGGCTAACTCAATCATAGCAATGCTGTCCTCAGGGATAATTCGTGGAACATTTTTTCCTCATCCCACTAGAAGTAACCTAAGCACCATTATCCAATTTTCAACATGTATGCTTTTAGGTCTCCATTTAATTAATCTGATTATCCATTTAATGTTTCTCAACCAAGCAACCAAATAATTTTTTTCCATGACATCAACACTAACGGGAATTGCATTCAATCTATGATGAGAAAAATAGTACATTTATATCAACTTTACGTAATCCCTGAAAAAGAAATAATAAGAGTCATTGACTATTGAATACAAGTGTTCACAGTGTCTCCGAATTTTTTTTTACACAGTATGCACGTAAAAGAAACGCAAAACGTCCTGCGAGTCAATTATCAGAATATTCATGAACCCAATGCAGACTTATTAAAAGTTCACCCTCAAAATAGACCTATTAATTCATTCAACAATTTGATTGCACCAAGTTAAGACAACGACGTTTCGACAAGAGAGAAGTAGTGCTTCATACTTGGCTAACCGTAAAAAGTCTTTACCTATAAGTAAATAAATAATCTTTTCATCCGTGAAAATTGAAAATAAGTAACCTTTTTTCAATATTTGAAAAAGAAGCTATAAAAAACAGTTTTACTTCTTTTTTAGCTTAGACAAACATGTAAAACAGCAAATACAGTTTCTCTCTTAAGCATTTGTTCAAACAGTTTGAACGAATTGGATAAGTAACATACCTTTATCTTCAGCACATTAGGGAAAATTGCCTGAGGTCGCGGCCGGCGGTGGAGAATGTGGGGGCAGTAGAAAATTTGGAGGCAGATTTGAACCAGAAGAGAGAGAAGTAGAAATGGGAATCACTAGTGCCACACTTCAATAGACTTATCCACTCTCGAATCATTGTAAATTGACAAAATTACCCTTGCCATAGCATTCCGCCTATTTTTGGAGAGAATCTTCACTGGGGCGCACCCCCATGCTGAGACGCCACCTTGACTGGTGAGCTACACACCTCGGGGTTGTGTGGTGAGCCACCCGTCGAGGTGGCTCAACTTGATAGGATGACACCCTATTGAAGTTCCTGTTCCTATCATATTTTTGGGTTACTAGTCATAATCAAACATCATTTCCACGTTATTTTGAAATGTAGGTGTTATAAAATAATATTGTAAGACTTGAGAATAGAAAAAATAATTAATATTTACGTATAATGAATTTTTTATTCAAATAAAATAGAAATCAATTTGTGAAAATAATTTAGATAGTTGAAAAAGTTAATTAGAATAGTCCATCCATTTACCATTTTGATCTTAGCATGCATTGAATTAATTGTAATATTTATTATAAATGCACATTTGTCTCCTTATTTACCTTCTTCTTATCTTAACATTCATCGAATAAATTAATTGGAAGAAAATTCTAGAAATATTCATCTTTTGTTCCAATTTTTTTTTACTGAATTTAATTTGCTATCTAATCAAGTGGAATGAATTGTCAAATGTACATTGATCATAACTAAAATAGTTGACAAAATAATTAATGATGGTATTGTTCAAATAGTTCAAATGATTAATACATTAAATACATATTAAAAAATAAGATTATGATATTATTGAAATAATTAAATACATATTGAAAAATGAAAGTAAATAATGAATGTGTCAAATTACATTGGGTTATTGTGCAAAACGTCCATCAAATGAAGTTTATTGTGCAAAATGCCTCAATATTTCTTTTTTTTTTTTTACCCCTATTTCAACATTTTATTGCGAAAATCATCATTTTTGTTCAGTACCATCCAATTTCTCAATAAAAATTTGTGAAACGACGAATATATCTCCCTATTTAAAAAAAATAAAAAATGAAGAACTGATTGCAGTCGTGTACCCCATTTTTTAAAAAAAAGTATAAATGAATCTCAAATAATTTATTAAACATAAAAAAAAAATTATAAATCTCTCTCCTTTGTTCATGGCTAAAACTTGAATAACACTCAAGAGGCGATTTTGAACCCCTTGTGGAGCCACCGCCTCCCAATCATAAAAAAACCACCTCGTCATTGCCTATGCCATCAAAATTCTCCCTTCCTGCTATCGATGGTAGCACAACCACGACATATTCCAACAAACAATCAATCCAAATTACAATTTTCAATCAATAAATCGATGCAAAACAATTATAGTTCATCTCCAACACCAAAAGAAACCGCCACTTTTGACGACACACATGATCGTCAACCACCATCGTTCACCTCGTCTCCTCTAGGCGAACATTTTGATGGATCAACTTCATTAAAACGGCTCCAAATAATTGATATCAGTTCGGACACATTACGAGGTGGTTGCACCTATATCAATTGACGAGTCTCATGCTATTTTTCCATCCAATGTCCAACACCATCGTATGACCCTGGGTGTGCAATTAATTGAACCATTTCATCCCTTAATTGATCCAATATTGCAATCAAAATCAACCCCGAAATGGATAGACCCATCAAGCTACTTTCTGCTGGGACCCACGCTACAACAACCCCTCCATTGGATTTAGAATCATCAAAAACTCCTGTGGTATACCGCGTTGCTATTAATGTCTCTTATGAATATTGAAAATAATTTTTATTTATTATGCCAATTTGTTTATAGGAGACTTGGGGAATTTACAAGAAATTTTATAGGTGGTGGTGGAAGAGGATAAGAGGGAGAAAAGAGATTTATTTATTTTTAATATTTTATTTGGAATTCATTTAATTTTTTTTTTTTTATAAATTGGGAGTATGATTGCAATGAGTTCTTTATTTTTCTTTTCTTTTCTCTTTATTTAAATAGGAGTGTATATTCATCATTTCACAACTTTTTGTTGAAAGAATAGAATTGGATAAAAATGATGATTTTCGCAATAAAAAAGTTGAAATAGGGATGAAAATGAAAAAAATTAATAAATAAATAAAGTAATGTTAGGACACTTTGCATAATGAACTCCATATTTAGGGACATTTGTGCTAATAATCCAATGTACATTTATCATAATTAAATAGTTGACAAAATAATCGACGATAATATTGTTCAAATGGCTTAAATATGTATTAAAAAACGAAAAGTATGGTGTTATTGAAATATTTAGGGACATTTGTGCTAATAATCCAATGTACATTTATCATAGGGGAATTTTCAAAAATGTCACAAAATTAACAAGGTCCCCAAAAGTTGTCATTTTCACTTTATGTGAGCAAAAATATCATTTTTTTTGTGTGAAATATCCAAATTACCCTTAATGACACATTTTCATTAGCATTTAATGCTTGATTTAAAAGAATTGATTATATTGATGTGATGATTTATTATATATATAAAAAATATGGATAAATGTGTATTATATTGATTAATATGAATTCGTGTTAATAAAAAAGGGTAAAAGAAATTTAAAATGAAACATAAACAAATATATTTTCTTCTTCCCTTACAAACCCTAATTTTTCTCATCTTCTTCATTTCATTGATCAAGAAGATTTTTTTCTTGCATTCATAATCCATTTTGAGAGGTTAATTATAGAAAATATTTACATTTTACTTCTACAGTTTACTGTTTTGTAAATATTAAATACAACCTGGACATATTTACTTAAAAATTTTGAAACTATTATTCATTGATTTTTTTTTTTTAAATCCTTCACAAATGTGATCATCACTATTAAGGTTTTGAGTACTTTATTCCATTCAAACCAAATATTGTTTTCATTAAATGTCTCTTTAATAACAAGGCCAATCTGACCTTTTTCATCTAGCTCAATACTAATTATCACACTTAATGTGTTGTGCTAAAGAATATGTTCTACCCACCGTCATCTGCTTCTTGACATTTTCAACGGTTCAACTGTCGAATTTGACATTTACAAATTGTCGGGTTAGACGTTTGAAATGTCGAACCCGACATTTACAAACTGTTGGGATATATAGTTTTACTGTCAAATTGAACACTTAAAAACGATGGAAAGCCTTGATTTGACATTTTACTATTGTACGGATTTACGTATTATATAGTGCCTGTTTCATGCTATTAAATGCCAACACATTGATTCTGTAGAATTCTTATCATTGCAATCCCAACATTTGAGGTATGAATAATCATTTGAGTTTCATCATGTCGCATGGGGAAAGTTTGTTCATGCAGATGACGAATAGAAGTGAAAAGGGGACAACACCACTTACATTCTAATTCCGACAAGTAATATCGTAACCGGACTTTTGTTAATGTTGAAGGACAAACTTGATATTCTTGATTCCCGTACTCAAATTGAATTGAAGTTCAAGGTCGTTAACTTGAATATACCTCCGACCGAAATACGCGACGATGAAGACTTATTTTCATTACATCTCAAATTGAATTTGAAAGACAATTAGTGTGATGCTTTTAAAGTCTAAGTGCGCTTGTATCACTCACACTTGGTCTATCATTTATGAAAATTGTGTACATTAAATCATGTGTACCATTTCATCTTGATTGAAACATGGTACGCACAATATTTTAATACAAACAAAGAACTGCTCATTATATTTTGCAAGAAAATGATGCCCAGTGATATTATCATGATTCATGAACGTTTTCGATTGAAACAAATCATAATATTCAATTCAATCATGTTTATTTTTAATTGAATACCAGTTTTAATCGATAAATCAAATGAGTTTCGAAAGCAAGAAAGTTATAAAATGCACCAAAAATCATTTTTATGTACACAACCTTGTTCAAGTATCGAACATGATGTAACCATTGTTTTGTATTGTGGAGTAGCTCCATGACCCTATTTAAAAAACAATCTACTATTCTTTACTATTTACTATTCATTACTATAAACATTTTCTATATGAAACAAAAACAGTTTCCTTTTGCCAACATCACATAAATAAAACCAACTAATGCAAAATTATATACATAAATAAAAAACAAAATGTTTTTCCGTGCAGTTGCCACAGTCATCAAAAGTAGACCGTTGTGAAGGTTGCTCTTTCTTTGACAACGAAATCGATTGGTTCCATCTCCAATTATAGCAAGAATGTGTGCACCAACACTTTGACGGTCATTCAAGTCATGAGTATGAGTCTGCTCATATGTCATCATACATTGGTGAAATTAGTATTCCGAGATAAAGCACGTAGAAAACAATGTGAAGAAATGTAATAATGTTCACCTTATGTGCAAAAACAATTTGATCACAGTACATAATATAACTCAATTGATTCATGCAATCTATCATAATCTGAATTCAAACAAGCAACTTCCACAAAAATAGATTTGAATTGCATGTGATCCAAAAATTATGAAGAATGAATCGTGACGGTGGTGGTATTGTTATACAAATAAAAACGTGAAACACAAAAATATAACCACATATGGAAATCAGTCACACGTGAGACGTTCGGATGGAAAAAATCTAACCAAATACGGACAAATCAATCAAAAAAATCATGAGATCATAGCATTTCTTATATATTTATGTAAAACACTCGTGCAATGTTAGAATGAGCCAAAGTTTGACTTGTGGAACTGAGCGGAGGGATGGACTGAACCGTCGTTCTCGACAATTCATCTGTCAACTGTTTCATCTATCGAAAATTATCGAGACTAACTGTCGAAACCAACAGTTAGGCGCGATGGCATTTTTCTACATTAGTGAACTGTCGACAGATGAACTATCGGGAAATCTACTTTTCACATCTAAGCAAATAGGTATTATTGAAACTTATTTCACTCAATATTCAAGCATAACAAAATATTAAAACCACAGGTACGCTGTCAACTGTCTAACAAGAGTTCAACCCAAATACGGGTACCTTCCACAACAAATGGATTCCAAGTAATAGTAATGTTATTTCCACATCAAACAAGTACAAAAAATATTGA